ACATTTCCTCTCTCTCAAAGAATAAACCTTTTTTTAATTTTAAAAAAAACATTCTCAGAAAACCTTTTTTTTTAATTTTTTTTTTTTTAATTTAGGAGGCGGCGGGGGAGCCAGGGGCAGAGGGAGAGAGAGAATCTTTAAGCAGTCTCCACACTCAAAGCATGGAGGACCAGACGAGGGCTCAGTCCTGCCAACCCTGGGATCATGACCTGAACCAAAATCAAGAGTCAAATGTCAGCTAACTGAGGCCACCCAGGTGGCCCCTCAGGAAAATCTTAATAATCAAATGCATTGGGAGCAACAAAGAAACAGGCTTGGTTATTAAATGAAGGAAGCACAACACAGGGCAGGGATACAGTTGGTACAGCCTTGTTGAGAAATGAAGTTACTAGAACCAACACTATACCTTCCAGCAGAATGAGAACTGAAATCCACACTCAGAAAAAATTTCAACTACTGCTGGGGAGCATTCAGGATTTGAAAACTTGAAGCATTTTCAACTTCAAAGGAAGATTCTGAACAGATCTGATAACCTTTGGGGGTAACAGAAAAGTTCCCTCAAGGGATGAAAGAAAGAATAGAGGGGAAAGAATTAGGGATTCTCAAACATCTATACAGGAGAACATGGATAATTAAACAGAAATACTAATAATAATTAAAAATAAAAATTTCCTTTTTTAATATATCCTAAAACACTCTTCTTTTTCTGACTGTTCCATGCTGCAAATTTGGATTAAGAGTAAAATGCAAGCAAACCAAGAGAAACTACAAAAGCCTTTTTCTTTTTAAAACTTTTTTTTTTAACATTTTAATTTTTTTTTTTTTTTTGAGAGGCAAGAGAGAGACAGACAAAGGAACGGGGAGGGGCAAAGAAAGAGGGAGACACAGAATGCAAAGCAGTCTCCAGGTTCTGCAATGTCAGCACAGAGCTAGATGCAGGGCTCAAAGTCTGAGCTGAAGTCAGACACTTAACCGACTGAGCCACCTAGGCGCCTCTAAAATTTAATTCTTAAGAAAAAATTCCCAAAGGGGCACCTGAGTGGCTCAGGCGGTTGGCTGTCCAACTTTGGCTCAGGTCATGATCTCACAGTTCGTGAGTTCAAGCCCCGCTTCGGGGCTTAAATATTTTTTTAAGAAAACAAAACAAAACAAATCCCAAAGTAAACACTTATTTAACAAAACACGCTTGGAGGCAAGAGGGTAAACAGAAATAATATACTGTACTTGGCAGAGGCTTGAGGGATGTCTGAATGATTGTGAACTGATTAAATTTGGCTGGTTCCAAAACAGAGACACTGGTTCTCTGACTTATTTCCTGAGCTGTGATAATCCTAAAGCCATTGATCCAGAAGAGCCGACCACTATAGTACATCAGTGTATTCTGGGAAATTTCAGAAGTACTCCAGGCTGCAAACTCCGTGATGTTGATATCTCCAGCACTGCTAAAACATGGCAGCAATTAGACTGTGAATCTCAAGTTGGGGAAGGGCTGGTACATTCACGTACTGGAGAGAATGTATGTTTGTGAGGGTGTGTGTTTGTGGATGCAAAAACAAAAAGAAAATACTTTGCAACAATAATTATCGTTATTTTTAGTTCCGTATAAAGTTGATTTTTTTACGCTTTTCTTAAAGTATACCTAAAGCAAGTCTTCTAGGACTTTTCTCATTAATGTGATATTGCAATGGCAAGAGTATTACACAGATTTTAAGAAATACTGGTGATTCTCGGTAGTACCTATCTTAGAGGTGCAACCTACTGGCTGGTTTCTCCTCATCGGGCCACGCCTCCCTCTTACACTTGGTTAATCATGTTATTTATTTGCCACCCATTATTCTCTCCTGTTTGGTCCATCAATATATACTATTCACAACTGCTGCTTCAATGATACTTACTAACTTCGTTAGCTCATGCAGAATGCTTCTTTTCAGACTGGGAAATTCAAGTTAACAGACTATTATTTACATCGATGCTAGAGTTTTCTCTCCATGACACAGAATTGGGGTATAATTTTCACTTTAAAAATCTGCTTGGTAGTTTCTAAAAATCTCTCTTTCCTGGTACTCAATAAATAAAAACCACCTCAATGATTTTCAGTCTTTTGAAGTGGTGGTTTGACTATTTCTTTTCAAGATTTCTCGACATCTTTTTAGAGTGTTGACAGTTCCTTCTTTAGAAAAGTAGAAAGAATGGCACTTAAAATCAAAACAAATAAAGGTTTTGATTTGAGAATTTCACAATATCTCCTTGACAAAACTGTGACTACCTGAGAGGGCCAAAACTGGAAGTTGGGAACCTTATAAAGAAGTATATTCACCAGGACGATTCACATTGTCCTTTTTCTAGTGAAATACTCTATTTATACCTACGCAGTTCTGAAGACAGCATCTGGTTTGCCTTGTGGACTTTGACTTGCTTGTCTAATTTCACACCTTGTTATTTCTACTTCTCGTTAGAACTTTCCAGCAACCTTGTGAAATACATAAAACCCAGTTCCAAATGGAGGGAAGCTCACTAAACAGGATGCACTTGGGCTAGGAGGCTGGCCCTTCTGGACCACCCACAGAGCTGCTGATGCCTGTATCCTGTGAATGCCCTTGTGTTAGTTTAGCCCACCCGGTTGTTTGTTTCAGCATTTCCAAAGTGTCCCTAGGACAGCGGGTTTCCCCGCAGGGTGAGCCTGGATATCCCTTAGCTGCTCCTGGCATGGATGACCCCTCATTTCCAGTTGAAGACTCCTCCCTTATAAAAATCTCATGGACTAACCGGGAAATTCTTGACCTCCAATGTTCATGGCACTTCAGCAAAACCTCCTCACTTTCGAGAGGTCAGTATGGGGCTTCCTTCTACCTGTAATTTCAAACCCTTCAGTCCTCCACAACAAGTAAAGCTGGATTTAAATCAGAGCTCAACAAAAAAGTCATAAAAAGTCAAACTCTTCCATAAAGGGTGAAATATAGAGGTCAGCTGAGGTTACTGTGCTGAGGGTTCATTCATTTACTCATTCAGTCAACAAGTGTTTTGTGCCCCGTTCTGTGTTAGCCACTAGGAATACAGTGGTAAATAGACAAAGACAATCCCTGCCCTCATAGAATACACAGGATAGCAGAAAAGGCAGTCTGGAAGAAGATGAGCAAACAACCATCTTTTGGCATCTGAATGGCACCGTAAAAGGGAAAGTAGAGCGGATTCCTTAACAAGGAGACCTACTGGGATCTGGTCAGAAAAAGTCTGGTCACATTAGAGAACATGCTTAAACTGAGCCATACAGACCGAATACCAATTAACCAAGGGAACTGAGTCTGGGAACACTGCAGGCAGAGGGAACAGCAAGGGCATAGGGTCCCTTGGAGCATGTAATCAGTTCTGACATAACCAAATACATCTGAATTGTTGACGGGTGCACCCTCTTCAACTTCCAGGTCAGATATGTTGTTATACTTGTACCTGATTAATTCTTTTATAAACTAAAGGAAATTGATGGACTTAGGTGAAGGAAGAGCAATTTCAAGAGTAGATCCATCACGGGCACCTGGGTGGCACATTCAGTTGAGCATCTGACTTCAGGACTGGGCTCAGAGGTCATGATCTCTCTAGTTTGAGCCCTGCATCAGGCTCTGCGCTGACAGCGTGGAGCCTGCTTGGGATTCTCTGTCTCCCTCTCTCTCTGACCCTCCCCCACTCACTCTCTATCTCTAATTAATTAATTAATTAATTAAAGCTGCTGTGGCTATACTACTATCAGACAAAGTGGTCTCTAAGCAATGAGCATTACCATAGACTGATGAGGGCATTTTATAGTGACAAAAAGCAATATAATCAAGTATATAGATAATAATATAAATACAAAGCACCCAGATGAAGATGAAGAGAATCACCATAGACTAATGAGGGCATTTTATGTGATAAAAAGGCAATACACTCAAGTACATAGACAATAATATAAATACAAAGGACCCAGGTATATCAACTGTAGAGAACCATAGGCAAATCTACAATCATAGTTGAAGACTATGGCACCTCTTTTCAGTGACAGTACAAGTAGACACAAATATTTCAACTACACCATCAACTAATTTATGTACTTGACAGTTATAGACTACTATACCAGCTATTAATCTAATGATAATTAATCTAATAATCCAACAGATTATTAGCTGAATAAATATTCTTCTAGTGCACATGGAACATTCATCTTGATATACCCAATGGTGGGCCATAAAATGAGCCTAAATAAATGTCAAAAGATTGAAATTATATGGTGTATGTTTTTCAGCCACAATGATATTAAATTAGAAATTGATAGAAATAATACCCAAACAATCCCAAAATACTTCACAATTAAGCAAGGTACATTTTAAAAATACATGGATCAAAGAAAACTAATGAGAGAAATTAGAAAATATTTAGAAATTAGAAATTAGGAAAAATAATAAAACACAACATACTAAATTTTGTGGAATACCAACTAACACAGTCTTTAAAAAAATATACAGCTTTACATGTCAATATTATAAATATATTAACAGAATGATGTGAACACAATTTCTTCTTTCATCTTAAAACGCTAGAAATAGAAGAGGATATTATAAAAGAAGAAGAAATAATAAAAATAATACTGGAAAAGAGTAAAATTGAAAATGGAAAATCAACAAACTAAAAGCTAGTTCTTTTAAAACATTAATAAATTTGATAAACCCTTAACAGGAGTGATCAAAAAAAAAATGTATCAATATCAGAGATATGAGGACACCACTAACGACCTTATAGACATTAAAGTGATAACACGGGACTATTATTAAATTTAATCTGACAACTCACTCAAACTGGATAAATTCCTAAAAAGACATGAATTAACAAAATTGATTCAAGAAGAAATAAAAATTTAAATAACCTTATACCCCTAAAATATATTAAATTTAAAGTCAAACAATTTTCCACAAAGAAAATTACAGGCCCAGATGGATTCACTGGTGGATACTATCAAAATTTAAGGAGGAATTAATATCAAAAACTCAGAAAATTGAGGAGGAGAGAATGTTTCCTAATTCATTGTAAAAGACCTTTATAACCCCCTAAAGCATTTCTGCATGAAACCAGAACAGTGAATTTAGCAATGAATCAAGATACCAAGTCAATATACAAAAATCAATTGAATTTCTCCATACTAGTAATAAGAATTTAGAAAATGAAATTTTTGAAAACACCACTTATAAAGCATCAAAAAAAAAAAAAAAATCAGAGGGGAGCCTGGGTGGCTCAGTCAGATGGGTGTCCATCTTCAGCTCAGGTCATGGTCTCACGGTTCATGAGTTCAGGCCCCGCATTGGGCTTTCTGCTGTCAGCACAAAGCCCACTTTGAATCCTCTTATAAACCTGTCTCTCTGCCCCTCCCCTCTCACACTCTCTCTGAAAAATAAATAAACATTTATTTTATTTTATTTTATTTTATTTTATTTTTTTTTAATTTTTTTTTTAACGTTTATTTATTTTTGAGACAGAGAGAGACAGAGCATGAACGGGGGAGGGGCAGAGAGAGAGGGAGACACAGAACTGGAAGCAGGCTCCAGGCTCTGAGCCATCAGCCCAGAGCCCGACGCGGGGCTCAAACTCACGGTCCGTGAGATCGTGACCTGAGCTGAAGTCGGACACTCAACCGACTGAGCCACCCAGGCGCCCCCATTTTTTTTATTTTAAAAATCAGACACTTCAGGATTAATTAATGAAAGAAGTGCAAAATTTCTAAATTTCTTGGAACGCCTGGCTGTCTCAGTCGTTGGAGCACACGGCTTATAATCTTGGAGTTGTGAATTCAAGCCCCAGGTTGGGCATGGAAACTACTCTAAACAAAACAACAAAACAAAACAAAACAAAACTTCTGCACTGAAAATACAAAACACTGCTGAATAAAATTAAAGAAAACCAAAATAAATGAAGAGAGATACCATTTTTATTGATTGGAAGACTCAATATTTTATGATATCCGTTCTCCCTAAATTGATAAGAGACTTAAAATTCCAACAGGCTTTATTCTAGGAATTAGTGAGATGATTTTTAAATTTATTTGGAAAAGCAAAAGATCAAGAATAGCCAGAATTAAAATATTGAAAAAGAAAAACAAACTGAGGACCGAATATTAGCTATCTTTAAGTCTTTTTCTAAATTTATAGTAATCAAGAAAATGTAGAATTGGCATGAGATTAGACAAATATAATAAAGGAACAGAATAGAGAATCCAAAAATAGACCAAAATATATTCAGTCAAATAATTTTGAACAAGGGCACAAAGCAATTAAATAACATAAGGCAAATCTTTTTTTTTTTTTAATTTTTTTTTAACGTTTATTTATTTTTGAGACAGAGAGAGACAGAGCATGAACAGGGGAGGGGCAGAGAGAGAGGGAGACACAGAATCGGAAGGAGGCTCCAGGCTCTGAGCCATCAGCCCAGAGCCTGACGCGGGGCTCGAACTCACGGACCGTGAGATCGTGACCTGAGCCTAAGTCGGACGCTTAACCGACTGAGCCACCCAGGCGCCCCAAGGCAAATCTTTTTAACAAATAGTACTGGAACAATTGGATATTCATATGAAAAGGAAAGAAACATCTAAAAACCTATTTTAAGTGGATCACATATTTAAATATGGAAGCTAAAACAATAAAAAGTACATCATAGGGGCACCTGGGTGGCTCAGTCGGTTAAGTGTCCAGCTTCAGCTCAGGTCACAATCTCGCGGTCCGTGAGTTCGAGCCCTGCATCGGGCTCTGTGCTGACAGCTCAGAGCCTGGAGCCTCTTTCAGATTCTGTGTCTCCCTCTCTCTCTGCCCCTCCCCCACTCACACTCTGTCTCTCTCTCCTTCAAAAATAAATAAACATTAAAAAATTTTTTTAAAAAGTACATCATATAAAATTCTCACAACCTTGGGATAGGCAAAGATACCTTATAGAAGGCACAGAAAACACAAACCATAAAGAAAATAATTGATAAATTGGGTAAGTCAAAATTAAAAACTTCTACTCACCAAAATACACCACCAACAAATATATAGGTAAGCCAAACACTGAGAGAAAAATTTCACAACACATATACTTTACAAAGGACTTATATACATAATATATAAAGATCTCCTGCATCTCAATACGGACAAGATATACAGCCAATTAAATAGTGAGAAAAATACTTGAAGAGTCACATCACAACAGACAATATATAAATAGTCAATAACAAATTAAAAAGTGGTGAAAATTATTAGTTATTGGTGAAGTGTAAATTAAAAGTACAATGATATATTGCTACATACACCAATGAATGGTGAAAATTTGAAAGATTGCTAAAGCCAACTGTTGGGAGGATGTGGACGAACCAGAGCTGTCATACATCTCTGGAGGAAATGTAAAATGGTATAAACCCTCTGAAAACCAGGAAATTATTTAAGAAGTTAAGCATGTATCTTCCATGTCACCCAGCAATTCTACTCATAGGTATTTATCCAACAATACATCCAAAGCCTTGGGTATAAATATTTATACAATTTTATCCATAATAACCAAAATCGGGAAGCAATCCAAATGTCCATAAAGAGGAGAATGGATATGCCAACTATGGTATGTTCATGCAATGGAATACTACTCAGCAATAAAAAGGAAAGACTAATACTCTTAACAACATGGATGAATCATAAAGATATTATGCTAAGTAAAAGAAGCCAGACACAAAAGGTACATATTTCAGGGGCAGGGGGGGATTGATTGGGTAGGGGCACAGGAAAATTTCTGTGATGATGGACATATATGTGTCTTTTTTAAAAATTTTCTTTATTGTGCTTATTTATTTAGTTTTGAGAGAGAGAGAGCTTGAGCAGGGGAGGGGCAGAGAGAGAGGGAGAGAGAGAATCCCAAGCAGGCTCCACACTGTCAAAACAGAGCCCTATGTGAGGCTCAAACTCATGAACCATAAGATCATGACCTTATTCAAAACCAAGAGTCAAACACATAACCAGCTGAGCTACCCAGGCGCCCCTCAACATATCTGTGTCTTAAAATGTACTTGTCAAAACTGATATCGTGGAATACTGAAGATCTGAACATTTCATATTATGTACATTACACCTAATTTTAATAAGCAAAAATGTTAAAAAAAAAAAAAAGAAAAGAAAGTGTAGGAAAAATACTAGAAAAAAAATGCCTTACAGTATTACTATGGAAGATGTGGAAATGCCAACAAGAGAACCAGGGGCTTAGTTTGAGGACACAGATTGAGAGAATAATTCATGTGCTTCTTTCGACTCCAGTCTTCATGTGTGCCATGCAGGATGATTCCTGCCTAACTCCATCATGTTAAGAAGAAGAAAAACACATCTATCCATTTCTTGGGCTCTTGAGGAGCATTCTTCTCAGTGCCTCCACTGTACTCTCTTTCTACCCCATCACAGTATTCACCATATTCTACTGTCATTAATTGTTTACAAACCTATCTTTCCCCACAAGCACAATGCCTGCAAAAACAGTGGACAACTAGTAAGTGCTTATTGGAAGAATAATGAATGCTCATGCACTGTCACATAACTGAGGGGTAAGTCATTCTCATCCTCAACAGATTGTTTTCAAGAGATACTACTTACCTCCACCCTCGAAGAACAGCTGTGTACAGGTGAATGCATTGACTGTCTTGAACCAACCAATACAGGAGCCCATCACTAAGGTCTAAAGTTAGAGCAACTACCTAAATAGAAAATAAGAAAATGAATCAAATGCATGTTTGGAGGAGACTTTTGTGAATAAGTCACACTTAAACTATAGATATCTCTTTAATGTCCTCTTTGGAATAATAAACTCGATAATTTTTACCTTTCGCTGAATAAAAAAATTATGTGAGATGCCTATTCCTATGTAACTTGGATATAAACACAAGTTTCCTAAAAGTCCTCAGAAGGCAGGGACTTCCACAGACTTAGCTCTGGTTGTTCTCAAAGTATGATTTTTGGACCAGCAGCATCAGCAGCACCTGCAAAGTTATTACAAATTTTCAACCACACTCCAGGTCCTACAGATGTCCAGGTGACATCTGAAAACCACTCCTTACTAATCTTTGTCTTTTTGTTACAGTCCATGCCTTAATTTTATGTCCCGTCATCCAGGAAAGGCCTGAGGAAAGACTGCTTCTCCTCTTGAAAGGAATTGAAAGGAGACTGCTTCTCCTCGTGAAACAGATTGCATAAGACAGAAGTTACAATTCAAGGGAACACTTTTGCTTTCTTTGGCTTTGTAGGAATTTTTCAAATAAGCTGAGATGGCCAGGTATATGACCCCAGAGTGGTGAAGTCTTTCTATAGCAGACCTAGAGGCTAAGAGAGATCAAGGATTAAAGTTGATGGCTACATCTCTAACAAAATTCTGCAGCATAAAAACAAAAATGATGAGCCAGTGAGAAATGTAAAAAGAATACAACAAGGTATCCAAGAACAAAAAAAAGGCACATCATTGCAAAAACCTCCAGCTGTCATATAAATCACAGCCTCTGTCTTCAAGGAAACGCAGTCTACTCCTTACCCACAAAATAAAAAACAAAAAACAAACAAAAAACTATCTAGCAATCCTCAGCCTTTTGGGAGTTGAATCATGTCCTTGCCTCAGGCTAAAAGAAATTTATTGATTATTGTGTCAGTTAAAGTGAAATCAGGTTAATCTTGTTTCATTATTCATAATGAGATGCACTCAAGTTTTCTAAATCAAAAAGTCTGTTTTATCTCTTAAAAAAAGAATATTCTACAACTCCCTGTTCTAGAATACAGCAAACTATTCGAGTCATAGATAACATTCAGGTGTTGGGTCATTACCAATTCCTTTGCATCAGTCATTTGAGCCCATATTTAAACAGAGCCAGAGGACATTCCATAAATCTTTGGTAACCACTGTTGTCTAATAACAGCCATGCCTTGGAAATGCCAACAAGGCATAACTATAAACTTGAGATTTAATCCTGTGGTAACGTGCACTACATATATATATGAGCCCGCCCGATCCATCAGATGTGGCAGCGGCTATCTTTTCACGTTAGATGAATGTCTCACTGCATTCTCCCTTTTAATCACACAAATACCAAGCCTTTCTATAAATAATTGGCTGTTTATTTTATTACACCTACTGATTGCACAGTATCTCACGGCTCCATGATAAATTTATGCATAACATATGAAGGGATGAATGACAGTGAAATGAAGAGTTCTGCTCGGTGCAAAATATGTCACCTTGAAAACACCCACTAGCATTAATGGAGGCAGATGGGTAAGACATCAAACCATGGAACCAAACTATAGATTTGTACAAGCAGCACTCCCCAGCCTGTGAAGGATTTGGAGTGGGAATTTAAAGAAGGATGTGTTTCCCCAAACATGCTGAGAAACCTAGTTTTCCACTCATTTACAGAAAAATCCCTATGGCCACTGTAGAACTTTCCAGAGTGAACATTACTCAAACAACGAGATCAGAGCACTGGGGGACATTACTGACAAAGTCCCAGGAACAGACAGAAAGTTACTCTTGAGATAGTATTTTTTTATCTTTAATATGCTTTTACAAAAATAAAAGTGCTTTCCCCCAGCACTTATAGAGACATAAAAAGATATACTTTTCCTATATTCAGACTCAAAGTTTCCAAAATAAAATTAAGGGATACTTTCATTATTTGACAGAAATGATTAATCTCTGCGTAAATTTGTATTTCTTTTAGGGGAGTGTGGGTGGCTCAGTTGGTTAAGTGTCTGACTCTTGATTTCAGCTCAGGTCATGATCTCATGGTTTGTGAGTTCAAGCCCCATACGGGGCTTTACGCTGACAGTGCAGATCCTGCTTGAGATTCTCTCTCTCTCTCTCTCTCTCTCTCTCTCTTTCTTGCTGCCCCTTCCCTGCTCACTCTCTTTTTTTTTTTCTTTCAAAGTAAATAAGTAAAACTTTTAAAAAAATGCCCATGGAAAAAAAATTGCATTTCTTTTAAATATCTGTGCTATAATCTGTATATACAACTGAAACTAATGTAATGTTCTATGTCAATTATATCTCAATTTAAAAAATAAATAAATAAATAAATAATAAATTTTTAAAAATCCTAGAATTGGGGATCATGTGACTCAATAATTTGTTTATAAATGATCTGGTTTATTTATATTATGGGTGATTTATCTCTACTGGCAGAAAAAAAAATGATTAAAACAATAAGAAAAAAATTAAGGAATATCCTAGGTAGAAATAGTACGAGTGCTTTCTTTCTTTTTCATGCTTTTCTGTGATTTCTAAATTTCCTACAGGAAGCACAAAATTCAGAAATTTATGAACAGGAAAGACAAAATTCAGAAATTTCAGATGATAGCTACAGGGTATCAAGAAGATAGGTATTGCTTGTAGAAGTTGAAGATCAAGAAAAATAAGTTTTGCTTCTAGAAGCTGAGGAAGTAACATCTGTTTTAGAAATGTTCCTATATCAGGTGTGCTTTTCAGATTTAGTTGCAATAATAAGAGCTTAACCACTGAGTAGTTACCATGTGCCTCGCACTGTTCTCAGCATCTCACATTAATTATCTCATTTAATCTTTGCAACAACCCTAAGAGGTAGGACAATTGCTAACATTCCCATTTTTCAGACAAGGAAGCAAAGAGAAGTGAAATAATTTGCTAGGAGTCACAGTTTCTAGAGCAGTCAGTACCCAAAATTGATCAAAGATAATAAAACATCTACTCATTACTCAATAAGAAGCTCTAAAATAGCCAATACAATTCCTGAAGATTATAAAAACAGTCAGAAATTAAAGTGCTTTTAAGTGCGGGTCCTTTCCAGATACAGCAAAGTGTAAACATCTCCATATTGTATCTTAATTTGTTTAATTATTATGACAATCAAATAAGACTTAGAAAAAATTTGGTTACACCAAGATCTTACTGTAACAGTATTTCCTTTCAGATTCTACCTTAACTATTCCCTACAAGCAGAAACAGTATTATTGTAACTATTCGATAGCACTATTTAGTATGACTAAATGATCAGGTCTTATTTTTAAGTTGTCACCTTTTTCCCAGAAAACCAAGGCTGTGCCTGTATTACAAGGGAACTTTCTCCGTTTAGCCTGGTGCTTTCCACTGAGTGTAGTGTGGTCCAATAGAGATATCCTCGGACCGAATCCACCGCCATGTCGTTCACCAGCAACTTCACATGGGTCACAATGTCCGTGTGCCCTGTCAACAGAGACTGCCTTTGTATCTATAAAACATAATAGTAGGGTTGATTAATAATTTTCAAATGACACTGTCCTTTCTTAATAGTGTGTTGCAGAGGTGCCTGGGTGGCTCAGTCGGTTAAGCGTCCGACTTCGGCTCAGGTCATGATCTCACGGTCCGTGAGTTCGAGCCCCGTGTCGGGCTCTGTGCTGACAGCTCAGAGCCTGGAGCCTGTTTCAGATTCTGTGTCTCCCTCTTTCTCTCACCCTCCCCTGTTCATGCTCTCTCTGTGTCTCAAAAATAAATAAATGCTAAAAAAAAAAAAATTTAATAGTGTGTTGCAATCGTTAGTAAATTGTTACATTCTTCCCACTGCGAATGTTTATTAGCACTGTGTACTGGGTAGTGTGCAAAGCCTTGGGAGCAAAACAGTCATGGAAGCTGCCCTCGTTGAGCTTCTCTCTTTTCAGGACTCTAGGGAAAAAAAGGAGGCAAATTTACTTTGAATTAAAATACTTATTTTTCCTAATCTTACAACCCCACAATTCAAACACTGCTAGATAAGAATGTATTGGATAGCAATTGCATTACTAGGTATTTATACAAAGGATACAAAGATGCCAATTTGAAGGGGCACATGCACCCCAATATTTATAGCAGTGCTATCAACAATAGCCAAATTATATGGAAAGAGCCTAAAAGTCCATCGACTGATGAATGGATAAAGAAGATGTGGTATATACATACAATGGATTGTTACTCAGCAATCAAAAAGAATAAAATCTTGCCATTTGCAACAACGTGGATGGAACTAGAGTGTATTATGCTAAGCGAAATAAGTCAGAGAGAGACAAATGTCATATGATTTCATTCATATGTGGAATTTAAGAAACAAAACAGATGAACATAAAGGAAAGGAAAGAAAAAAATAAGATCAAAGCAGAGAAGGAGGCAGCCCACACGACACTCTTAAGGACAGAGAACAAACTAAGGGTTGCTGGAGGGGAGGTCGGTGGGGGGGATAAGCTAAATGGACAATAGGCACTAAGGAGGGCACTTGTTGGGATGAGCACTGAGTGTTGTATGTAAGTGATGAATCACTCAATTCTACTCCTGAAACCATTATTACACTATATGTTAGCCAACTTGGATTAAAATTTTTAAAAAGAGAGAGATATTTAAAAAAAAGTGTATTTGATTAGACTCCTGGAGAAGATGTATACATCCTGATAAATGATGACGTCTCTCCTTGCTGCTTTTTTTCAGTATATTTCCCTGATATTAATTATTGCCATTACTGAGTACTTATTGGGTGTCAGGCACAGAACATTTTTATCTTGAAATATTAGCTTTTGTAACCCTAACATTATGCCTCTAAAGGATTTCTATCACAAGTTAACTAGGTTCAAGGAATTTAAGTAATTTTTCCTAGAGTTAAACAGTTTTATAAGAGACAGAGAAAATACTTGAAACCACTTTTTATATTCACTCTTACACTTCCTCCTTCAAAACTTTTTTTTTAACTATTTTTAAACTAATCAATTTTAGGGTGTATTCTCAGATTTACCCCACTCAATTCCATTCCACCTGCATATCACTGGCACTTATGAATTCAGACTACACCACATTGCTTTGCCTCTAAATACATTGCTTTTTATGCTTCTTCTATTATTTTTTTGAGGGGAGGGTGTAGAAAGAGGGAGAGAGAGAATCCTAAGCAGGTTCCATGCTGTCAGTGCAGAGCCCAAAGCAGGGTTCAAATCCATGAACCATGAGATCAGGACCTAGCCAAAATCAAGAGTCAACTGCTTAACCAACTGAGCCCCCCTTCTTCTATTATTTATATATGTATTTTATCTCATCAAAAGAGCAAGGACAACAAGGGTTGGTTGCACAACACTGGACATACTAAAACCCAGCACATTTTATACAATAAATTAATTTTATTGTATGTGAGTTATGCCACCTAAAGCTAATTTTTTAAAACAGATACATATCTACTATTAACTTTATGTTCCCTACTATGCCTTTCTTCATGGCTCCCAACACATTGGTAACAGATAAATGATTGTTGAACGAATAAATAAGTGGACAACAAGCACCCTCCTGATTAGAAAATGATTCCAGGACTGTATTTCTTGATCTTTCAGACCAGTATGCTCATCGCTAACCATCCCTTTCTTCAAAATGTACCACAACACAGACGTACACGACGTCTTCAGGTTGCATCCAGCTACACTCTCCATCCTCCCCACCCCACTCTACAACTGCGGAGGCTGGTGTCCATAGACTACACCAACTGGACTCTCACTTTCTGGCTTCCAATGGCATGCAGCCAGTGGAAGTAAGGGCAGATCAGAGGGAAGAAAGAAAGAGGGTTCAGGTGCTTACTCCCCCAGGCCACTCCTTTCCAGAACATACCTTTTGACAGTGGCTGGGTTTCACGTCAGCAACTCCCATAGCTACAGCCCTTACCATGTTCTTCCCCCTTCATCCCCGTGCCCCCATGTGCCTAAAGGTGGTTCTAACTTCCCACACTTACTAGCCCAGGGCATGTTTCACCATCCTTTGCTCATTTTCCTTAGCCCTCTCCACACCTTTGAAAATAGTCCCTCCATTGGGTTTCCTTCACTGGGTCTTTGGAGTATGCCATCTTCCTCCAGGGCACTGACCCACATGTGAACATTTTAATATATTTAAGATATTATGGAGCACCTGGGTGGCTCAGTCGGGTAAGCACCCCACTTTGGCTCAGGTCATGATCTCACGGTCCGTGGGCTCGAGCCCCGCATCGGGCTCGGTGCTGACAGCTCAGAGTCTGGAGCCCACTTTGAATTCTGTCTCCCTCTCTCTCTTCTTCTCCCCCACTCACACTCTGTCTCTCTCTCTCTCAAAAATAAACATTAAAAAGTTTTTTAAAAAAGCTATTATTGAAAATATACAACTAGTACAACAAACAGCGATATAAAGTTTTCTTTACCCATAAATCCCTTTTAGCTAAAAAGTGAGTATGTTTAGAGACAAATATTAAATAAATAAAAGCATAGGTGGCACACAAGTATGAAAAACGACATGAAAACTCCCAGCCACTGAAGTGGTTGGGTATTGTTCTAGAGCATCCAGAATGCTGAGCTTTAACTTACCACATACGTCCTTCCAGCCCAGTAGAGAAATTGACCCAGCCAATCAAAAGCTAAAGCCCCTGCTCCTGCAATGTTGGGTATGCGATAATTCTCTGAGATATCCGTCCCATTCAGCAGCCACACATGAACATCACCTTTCGTGTCGCTGTAGTAGAGGCTGTTGTTATACCAGTCCATGTCTCAAAACAAAATGAATTAGTAGCAGTTATTTTTCATGTATGCCAGCATAAACATGGTGAGTCAGCAAATCACTCCTGCACCTCCACATAATTTGAAAGCACATACTAACATGATATCCATTAGAACTTCAGGGATCTATCAAGAATACTTCTATAATGTTATCTCAAAAGCTCAACCCCGGGGGACTAGGAAGAGGAATTGATATTCACCAAGCACCTCTCTTTGCCAAACATTGTCCCAGGCACTTTACGTATCTCACTTAAATCTGAAAACAAAGGTATGAAGTAGGAATTATCCCCATTTTTGACACGGGGAGCCCAAGACTCAGTGAGATTATCTATTCTTCCCAAGGCCTCACAGATAAAAATGGGGAGCCCAGAGTGAAGACAACTCCAAAGCATCATTCTTCGTACCATTACCATGCTACCTCCTAAGTCCAACTCCTACGTTGGTCAGAAATGCTGCTGTACTTTTAGTGGCCCAGCAAATAGATCAAATAAGTAATATGGTTATAGAAGGTGCCATCTGCAGGCAAGTTCACTGTTGCATCATCCTACAACGAAGACTTTTCCTTCATTCCGATGTGTTCTAGGCAAAATGACCCACTTCTTACTTAATATTCCTCTGTGTCAAGAAATTCTTTCTTACATTGTATTTAGAACTTCATGCAACCATTCCGTGCTTCAGTCTTACAGCAAACATAACAAATTACTTAAGTATAGCTGTTTTTAAGTGGAACCAGATAGGCTGTTACCATGAGACAACGTTGACAGATTCAAATACATTCAAATACATCAATAAATAGCCTCACCTTTTGTGAAATAATAAATAGCACCTATACCTGAGAACTGATATTTCTACACTGGCAGTGTAGTTCACTGAATGTTTTTTCCTTTCATTATTGTCCTACTACCCAAACACTCAATTCTTTCAATGTATTGAAGAGCATAGGAAGCCTTATAAGTAGAATCTTGACGTCCAAGTGAACAAGGGATTTGGTGTTTACCTGACACATTTCCTATATCAGAGGACAGGAACTCTCCTGGGCCAAAGCTATTTAATGGCTTACTCCAAAGCCCATCTTCTTTCACAGCCATGATAAACGGTGGTTCTGAAGCTGTTTGGGAAAAAAAAAAGAAAAGAAATACTGCAGAAGGCACACGTTTTAAGGGACACATCTTATACCCCAAGATTTCCTTTATAAAGTATAAGAATATCAACGTTTGAAAAACACTGTGGAAGGACATGGATGGCTACATGTGCCTAATAGAATTACCTATCATATTAAACACGTTTTGTGATTTTTGGATAAATAATTGAAGTTGAATGTGAAGAGAAGTGTGGGTGACATTGCCTCTAGAGCAATGTCATCGTCGTGGCACAATCCTCCTGCCCTGTTGGATACTGGTTGCCGTGATCCCATGCAGAGCGCCCAAAAGCCACCGTGGTAACAATAGCAATACAAACATAATAGTTATCTTTCCGTTTCCTTTTCAGCCAAGAGGATGGAATTCAGCATAATTCAGAGCCCCTCAACTTCTCTCACTATGACCTTCTGAGTTCCAGGGCTATTATCACTTAACAAACCACGAGAAAGAAGAGAGCCATAAAGAAGAAGAAACGATATTGTTTCCTCAAAAATATCTTGAAAAGTTTAAAATAACAATTTAGAAACGTAAATTCAATATCACACAATGCCTTATTTGCTTTCCTAATCCAGATAATAAACATGGTGAGTCAGCAAATCACTCCTGCACCTCCACATAATTTGACATACTCAAAGTGACAAATGCACCCTCATTCTAATTTCTTTACCACCCTGGAGGAGAGGAACTCTTAAGGACACAGAGAATAAGCCTATTTTGTCAGAATTACTCCCTAAATCAAGGACATTTTCAGTGTACCTGGGTGGCTCAGTCAGTTCAGCATCCGACTCTTGATCTCGGCTCAGGTCATGATCTCACAATTCATGAGATCAAGCCCCACGTCAGGCTTTGTGCTGATAGCATGAAGCCTGCTTGGAGGGCTCTCTCTCCTTCTCTCTCTGCCTCTCCCCCACTCGTTTTCTCCCTCTCTCTCTCTCTCTCTCTCTCAAAATAAATAAACTTTAAAAAATAAAAAGACCGTTTCCTCACCTGGCACCAGAGTGGTGCCCACCAAGGGCTCCGACCAAGGGCCTGGCCCCTTGGGAGAACCGGCTCTCACAGAAACCTTGTATCTTGCAGCACTCTGCAGCTCAGGCACGTTAAGCACGGTCCCACTTATATTAGAGAAAATCCGAGTGATTTCAGGAAAGTCCTCGGTTGATACTTTCACCTCGTAAGTCCAGTTCTGCCAGGCGGAGGGGCCTAATGAGAAGAGTTAAACAACATTACTGACCAGGATGACATAGACAAGGGCAAACAAAAAATTGCCAGTAAATTCATCTACACCTTCATCTTGAGTGGAAGGGTAATTGGGCAGTAAAACCTGTTACCCCACCAGTCATCGGGGTTAGTCTCATGATATGACTAGGACACTGTCCATTCCAGCCACACCATAGCTTTTGCTCTGTCGAAGGAGACATCATTTCTAACCAATCAGAATCAAGCTCAGTCGAAGCTATATGTGTGGCTACGTAAAATTGTCAGGAGGGTGTTCTATAATACCGCTAAGTGTAACCAGGCTCCTAAAGAAAAAACGTTTAATGATGAATCTCTACTACAACTCTCAGTGTTTGCATAGCACCTTCCTCTAGAAATCCAAACTATACAAAAACAAACAAACAAACAACAACAACAACAAAAACTTCCTATATGGCAGTTGAAATATACAGCAAACAGGCGTAGTTAGCTTTGTCGTAAGGTAAAAAATAGCCCATGTTTGCTAAATAGTCTAGAATCAGGAGTTGGCAAACTACAGCCCACAGGCCAGATCTGGCCCTCTGCCTGTTTTTGTAAATAAAGTTGTACTGGAACACAGCCACAGTTCCTCATTTACATATCATCTATGGCTGTTTACACACTGTAACGGCAGACTTGAGTAGCTATGACAGAGACCATATGGCCCACAGAGCTGAACATATGTACTATCTAGTCCTTCCTTTACAGAAGAAGTTTGCCCACCTCTGTGCTAGATACTAAGTGTTCTACGTAAGCACCTTAATTCTTTTTTTCAATATACGAAGTTCATTGTCAAATTGGTTTCCATACAACACCCAGTGCTCATCCCAAAAGGTGCCCTCCTTAAGCACCTTAATTTAATCTGCATGACAATCCCACAGAAATATGTAAGTAACATTCTGGTTTTCCAGCAGTGGAAAACAACGCATGGGCTGGTTAAGTAGCACGCCCAGGATCATTCTACTAATAAATGACAAGGCCCGCCTTTGAAACCATGTAGGCTGGCCCCAGAGCCCACCTGCTGACCCTCCATACACACCGCCTCTCTAGAGATGAAAGTTCAAGTTCAAAGAGCTTTAAGAAATTGTTCCAATTCATGTCAGGTCTAGATGGGTCCAAATCTCAACCCACCTTCTCTATCCCTCTCGCTAATACATTCACTCAGACCACAGTGTCAGTGCCTGGCCCCTGGGTGACATTCAATGAATGTGCAAACTATTCTATTGGGATATACATGGTGAATACAGAGATCCTAATAATAAATGCAGAACAAATGTATAAGCACTTTTTCTGGAGTTAAAAAGCATTTCTGGTTGATGACTGAATAATCACCTACGGGTTCTCAAAATTGAGTCGCATGTCACGCAGTTCAAACTCTCCTTCCATCAAGGCCAGAAACCACACTGGGGAGGGGGCACTCACTGGCTCCTATGGCGAGGGCAGGGGGTTTCCACTGAACCAGGGCCTGGTGGGAGCCAAAGAGCACGGAGAGCTGCTGGGGGCGGCCCGGCATGGGGTGCGTCTGGGTGTAGGAGCCAAAGATGACCAAGTTCCCAAATCCAAACTCTTCTATGTGACTCAGGTCACATCCCACGATGAACTCATTGAAAGACAAAGAGTCTTGTTGGAAAACAGCCTTGCCATCTGTGACAAGGAAGTCATTGTTTTCACAGGCAAAGCTCTTCACATCGGCAAAGGAGACATGAGCTAGGACAGGATGGGAAGCAGAGCCGTCCAGAAACGTTGACATGAAGACACGAGCGGTGTCATTGAAATAAATGATTCGTTTGGACTGTGGCTTCACTGCAAAGTCCTTTAATGTGCAACTCTCCACAATATGCAGGGCTTCTGAGTCCCGACCAGATGGCACAGGGAGATCTACTCTATAAATGCCGTCTTTCAGGAGATAAAACGCGTACCTGACATAGGAGCAAAAGAAGCCGGGTGTGATCCAATGCAAGGGTGAGGGTAACACTTTGTCCTGTTGTGCAGTCAGAACCTCTGATCTTACCAGTCACTGAGTCCAGGGTGTCCCAAGGTGCAAAAGAGTAAAGGTATTTACTAAAGATACACACTATTCATTTAAGTTAGAGGCTGAAACATTGCAAAATTTCAGTCTCACTTAACAATGCTTTGTCTCTAACCATATATGTGACTTTCTAAGGAATCAGAAAATTTAAGAGCAGAAAGGGTCTTAAAGATTTTCTAATGAAGCCTACTTTTTTTAATGTTTAATTATATTTTGAGAGAGTGCAAGCAGGGGAGGGGCAGACAGAGGGGGACAGAGGAAGCAGGCTTTGCACTAACAGCAGCAACCCCCATGTGGGGCTCGAACTTGCAAACCACGAGATCACAACCTGAGCCCGAGTCAGACGCTCACCTGACTGAGCCACCCAGACACCCCCTAATGAAGCTTACTTTTAAAGGAAAGCATATTATATAAAAATTACATGCCTACATGTGTTATTTATTGTAAAACACTTTTCTCCATAATGCACATATTCTTAAATCTAATTCTTTCAATAAATTTTTCCATGCATTGTGAATTATAAAATAAAGCAAAAATGTTTAACCTATTTTATTTTTTTTTCTTTAATTTTTTTTTCAACGTTTATTTATTTTTTTTTTTGGGACAGAGAGAGACAGAGCATGAACGGGGTAGGGGCAGAGAGAGAGGGAGACACAGAATCGGAAACAGGCTCCAGGCTCTGAGCCATCAGCCCAGAGCCCGACGCGGGGCTGGAACTCACGGACAGCGAGATCGTGACCTGGCTGAAGTCGGATGCTTAACCGACTGCGCCACCCAGGCGCCCCAAGTTTAACCTATTTTAAAGCCACAGTTATTATTTTGCTATAAATATCTTATAGTATATAAATATAATAGTAAAACTACTTTGCATTTTGGAGTAGACTAAGTTTTTTTTTAATAGTTACAGTTGAGTGGGGCAATAGAGCTACCATTTTACAAATCATAAAGATTAAAACCCCACAAGACAGCAAAACAGCTGGGATGGACCACCCAGCAGTTAGGAGAAGGCAATGGAAATCTCATGGCAACAGTGAAGGTGAGTTTTTAATAATAAAAACACCACCAAAATATTTCACTGATAAACCAAATCTGTAAATAGAATTTGAACTAAAACATAAAACTATTAATTTGGATGAAGCTAATTTTGAATGGGTGATCATGGAGACAGATGCTAACAAAAGTATACTTCTGCTGAGTAAATCTTTCTTATCACAACCCTGTGGATTGACAGGATTCCAACATTTCATCACAACTGTCCAATCATTTTCTTTGTCCTATTCAGTCCCGTTCTTGTTCTCCTTGATGGCTGTCCCAAATCTTTAACAATATGCTCCACTCCTGTGCTAGAATAATATCTGAGATATAAACTCCACGCTGAGATGTTAACCTATGTTTCTTGTCTTAAGAAAGGGTTGTAGTGGGGTGCCTGGGTGGCTCAGTCGGTTAAGTGGCCAACTTTTGCCCAGGTCATGATCTCGCGGTCCATGAGTTCGAGCCCCGCGTCGGGCTCTGTGCTGACAGCTCAGAGCCTGGAGCCTGTTTCAGATTCTGTGTCTCCCTCTCTCTGACCCTCCCCCATTCATGCTTTGTCTCTCTCTGTCTCAAAAATAAATAAACGCTAAAAAAAAATTTTTTTAAAGAAAGGGTTGTAGCAGGCAAAAAGCAGAAACAACTTGGCTCTTAACTGCCTGCTTTTGTTTACCAAATTCAAAGCTATTAAGGGAATATAAAGAGATTTCAGGGTAGATAAGAGGAAGATTTGGCATGAAGATTACAATCCTTGTACTGAAGTAAAGAGGAGTGTGGGTCTTTAATACTCTTTGCCACTTTGGAGGGGAAAGAAAAGAGAGTGAAAGTTAACAGAGCTGGGGTGTGTGGGGGAGGGAGGGGAAAAGAAGGCAGAGAGAGGAAAGGGGAGGGGGGAAGAAGGCAGAGGGAAGAAGGGAAGAAGTTTAGAAGCCTCAATGAGTGAATAATTCACTGGTGCAAAATAACAACATAAACCATTCTTTTTTTTTTTTTTTTAATTTTTTTTTTCAACGTTTATTTATTTTTGGGACAGAGAGAGACAAACATAGAATGGGGAGGGGCAGAGAGAGAGGGAGACACAGAATCGGAAACAGGCTCCAGGCTCTGAGCCATCAGCCCAGAGCCTGACGCGGGGCTCGAACTCACGGACCGCGAGATCGTGACCTGGCTGAAGTCGGACGCTTAACCGACTCATGCAAGCCTACCCAGGCTCTCATTCTTTTAATGCTTTTTTTTAATGTTTATTTTTGAGAGGGAGAGTGGGGGAGGGGAGAGGGGGACCGAGGATATGAAGCGGGCTCTGCGCTGACAGCAGAGAGCCCGATCCAGGGCTTGAACTACTGAACTGTGAGATCATGACCTGTGCCAAAGTCGGACACTTAACAGACTGAGCCACCCAGGAGTCCAAAGGAAACCATTTTTAATGCCAGGAGAATAAATGATGTCACACATTTGGAGTTCCTTAGGATCACTACAAGCAAAGTGTTGCTGAAAGTTATATGCTGATTTTTACAGAAACCCTATTATTGTATAGGGAGATGATTAGAAGACAGACACTGGGAGCCAAGTACTGGTCCCATTGCAAAAGAGCCGTGCGATCTTGGGTCATTACTAACCTGTGCCTTACTCTCCTATCTGTAAACTGACATAGCAAAAGTACCTACTTCATAGGGATGAACAAGAACTAAATGAATTTTTGGAAGTAATACACTTAGAAGCACATACTAAGTGCCCAATTAATATCAATTATCGTTAATATTTCTAGTCACATTTCAAAATCTAAGCACAAGACAGTTTTATCCTAATGGAAAAAAAAGAGCCACCAAAAACCTCACTAAGATGAATTTTGAGTGATTGATGTAATGGGTGAATTTTATTATCCTTATTACATTTATTATACGTAATATTATAAATATAATAATATAATATTATTACACATAATAGTATAAATATATTTATTATTATTTTAGTAGGTGAAGTTTATTTATAAAATGAGGCTTTCTGTGTAATGGCCAGCAACAAAGTTTCATTTCATAGGATCTTAGACTTTTACAAATGAGAAAAATAATATTCAGGGAATCCAAAAGACTTATCCTACATCACAGTGTTTTTCAAACACATTCTTGAATTCAGTGATTCATTCAATCCTAAGATAAAATAAGTAACTAGTAAAGTAGGAACAAATATGAATAGAAAACTTGATTTCAGATCAACAATGAGCAACCTTTGTTTTTAATGTCAATTCATGAAAAATAAAAAGCGCCTTGGGCTATATACTTTGTTTTCATTCAAAACGAAAACAATTTTACTCCTACAGGAAAGAAAAAAAAAGTAATCTTACAAACATTGGCCTTGCTTATTGTTATTAACCTGTTACTATCCGGTCACATTTAAGAAATAACATTCACAAAATAATTTTCTGTGTTTGCATCCTTCACATTTATGTGCATTTGGAGATCACAACATATATTCACAGGGAATACCTCATGTCATACTCAAAATAACCCAACCGGGCCAGCATTGTTATCTTCCACATATGAATAGATAAATGAAAAGTTACTGGCTACAAGTCGTACTGCAACTTAAGGAGGACAGCTGAGCTAAAATGTGTCTATTTCATTTGTGGGGGGAAAAATAGATATTTATAGCGGGAAATTTTTCCTTGTTATTAACCATCAATACCTGTGTCCAAAGGTGGGTGATAGCAGCTATCTTGCAAAGCCAGCTTCTGATAGGTGTGAGAACCACACCAGAGAAATGAATTGGTGTTGAATTGCTCAGCAAAAGAAACAGTACGATGAAAGGAAGCAGTCAGAAAGGACTTCCCGCGGGGAATGTTGAGGGGGCAAAGAGACCCGGAGTCATGCCATAAAATGACAAATCCAGGACTGGAATCTATCCCTGAGTCCCCCACAAGAGGTTTTTCCCCTATACCCATATTTTACCATGAAGGAGAGGAAAATCTACTCAACTTGAGAAGTTGTAGTTCAAGTTTGCAAGAAATTTCCTCGTAGCTCTATAAAAGGAAAACTTTGCCTAAAATTATATTTTATTTTATTTGAAATAAGATCTATAGATTGGTTCCTCTAATTCTATGATGTTTCATTGTCAAGCAAGTTTCCCAAAGATTCTTGCCAAGGAAGAGAATCCATCATCATAAGGTTAACACTTACCCATTGTACGAATCAGCCACAATTTTTTGAGGTGTGGTAATTGACGGAGGAGTAATTTCCTCAGTGTTTGAGCAGTTCTCTAAATCACAGGTGTATACCTAGAGAATCAAGCATGCATCAGTATAGACCAGTGTCTGTCTATGTTCAGTTTGGCAACAAGTATTTCTTTTTTTATTTTTTCACTGTGTCCCCTACCCTCACACCCTCTCTAACAATAAGTATTCCCGAGCATCTGTTCTGTGCTTAGAATTTGCTAGTCACTGATCACTTTTCAAAGTATAAGAAAGAAAAAAAAACTTAAAAGTCAGTTTTATATCCTATATCCTAATGAGTGTGTATCCTGTTTACATCAATAAAATACAAAAACCTATTTTTTCTGGCTTGTGGAAGCACTCAACTACTTTTTTTAAGATTTTTTTTTAATTTGAAAGAGAAAGAGAACACAAGCAGGGGAGACAGGCAGGGGGAGGGGGGAGAGAGAGAGAGAGAGAGAGAGAGAGAGAGAGAGAGAATCCTAAGCAGGCTCTACACTTAGCTCAGAGTCCAACACAGGGCTCAATCCCATGACCCTGGGACCATGATCTGAGCTGAAATCAAGAGTTGGACACTCAACCAACTGAGCCACCCAGGCGCCCCAGAGATTTTTAACTAATCTGTACAGCCAACGTGGAACTTGAACTTACAACCCCGAGATCAAGAGTCACATGCTCGACTGACTGAACCAGTCAGGCACTCCTCAACTATTTTTTAATATTTAAGCTATATCCAAGTTTATGGGCTTCCAGCAATGGTGATTGTAATAAGCTTGTCCCTTTGAAATAAGGAAACTTGAAACACATCAAGTGTGTCTCCTTAAAGATTTCAGTTATACTGTATTTTCAGAAACCTACTAAAGTTATCCCTGGCTATTGTCTAATTTAAACTGCCTGCAGTTGATTTTAATCATGATCGGTAGTCTCACCTAGTGATAGCACAGAGACCACCACTCTCTTATGGAAAGTGAGTTACCACAAATGTAATAAACCCGTGGCTCTAAAAAATCACAAATAAAGATGACTTAAAGGTAGGTCAGGATTAGTCCTAGGTAAATTCTAGACCCGCCTATAGACCAGATCTGTGATTCGTTGCTAACCCAGCGTCTAGAACATAGCAAATATTCAGTGAGTATTTATTGAATGAATTATGTTTACTTGTAAATATACCGAGAAATGCATGTGTCAATATCTAGCTGTTCACTTTAAATTCTCCGACTAACCCGTTCATCCATGATGAAATACATCCTCTGATAAAGCCAGTCTACAGAGATGGAAGAAATTAATCCTGAGCCTCTGTAAAAAATTCTCAGGTCAGACACATCAGACATGTTGGCAACCTCTTTCACCCATATGAGAGCTCCTTCAGAGAAATACACAACTTGCTGGTGGACATTAATCGCTATTCCTAGAAGAGCCATGCAAATACATGTCTGTTACTATACAACAACCAGGAAAAAAAAGTACATGACAGAAAATGTATTTCTTTTCATTTTTAATAAGGAGATCATAACAGAAGTCAGTCTGGATCTTTTTTTTTTTTTTTTCACACTAAGGGAACATTTCTTTCATTATACTGACCTGTAATATTACTGTATATAGCATCTGAATGAAGGCAATGTGCTTCATCTACCAGATGTTTTAAAGATCTCTTTCTTAGAGAAGATTTTCTGGATAAAAAGAGCCACTGTTCCTCTTCTTGAACTAAAACAATAACACGATTTACAGACAGACCAACCATATACACATTGACACACACGCAAAAGAACCCATTACCATCCTTCAAAGCAAGACAACTAATGCTTGAAAGAGGCTGGTCAGATTTTTGTCTGAAGACACTGGGACATTTCAACTGCAGTACAAATCACATTTAGTCCATGATGAGGGGAGCGAAGTACAGTGTCAATCAAGTAGGATTTATACATATGTGCCCCAGAGGGCCCCCAGAATAAGATCACATAAGGGATCACCGTTTTCAACAGCCTTGCCCCAAGTAGGAGCTCAGCTCGTTACCCCCAGCCATGAGAATGTGACTGCTTGGTGGAGGTGGGCCAGCCCAGGCCAGACTGACAGACATTGCTTGTCTCTTTTTTCTTCAATGATCTCTCCCTTTGAGGCCAGAGAGAAGTCCTTAGAGCAATGAAATCTGAGGACTGCAGAGCTCTGCTTGACGTCCCACTCAACTGGAGACTGATGCCGTGTGCGTCGACGAACACTTTTAGGGCAATTAATAAAAGTTATGCAATAATTGCAGTAACAACAACCTCAAGCCTGTTCTATATTTAACTCGCCCTTCGGATGCTTCTTGCATAACAGAAATGTCTCTCCTTTCCTAGAGTCCGGTAACAGCCAAAAAACCAAAGGCCGGCGATAGATGACATTGAATACACACTGGCATAGATGCGTGCAGATAATTCATTATTGTTTTTCCCACACGGGCCTCATACAGGAAGTACTCAATCTCTCAAGGCAGTTGTTGAAATGCCAAAGTGAAAACAAAAATGACACTGGCAAAAAAATAACAAAAGCTAATTTGGTAGATTGAATATTAAAAATGGTAAGATGTCAATTATTAAATCCAGATATATTTTAAAACCTTAAGGAGAATGGAAGAAACAAATATCTGATATGTATTAATTGATGATACATAATATGAAACGGGGTTGAGGGCAAAAAGATTATATGTGTCCCTAAGTATATAAATATGAGTCACAATCACTAGTGATTTCATCTGAAACTAAGGATTTGCTTGCGGCCATTTTTTTATCCCTAAATTTTTCATTCTAAGTTTTAAACTTCTAAATTCTGACTTAAGAACATGGGTCTCATAACTTCCTTCTGTTTGCCAAATAAGGGGATTCATTTAAAACCGAAAGCTTACCAAGTGCCAAAAGTGTTTATTTGGGCAGAAGAGGTGGGGTTCTTGGGCTCCACCAGATGACCCCGGACTCTGAGCGCTGAACCCACCCTTGCCACCCCTCAGTTCCAAGTAACAAAGGAGCCTTCCCAGGCTGTACCTGCTGAGGATGGAGTGGTAATACTAGATTCTGCTTCTGGCCCCTCACCAACTTCATTTACTGCTGCAATGGAAAACCTATTCCAAAAACAATTTGGAGAGATGTGTTTCACATGGCATGGTGTGAACATGAGATAAAAAGAGAAGGAGCAATATTTCTATTTAAAGAACAATGTGGCAATGCATGTATCTAGTTTCTCGGTACCACTGCTCAGCCCTGAAACGACCATCAATCACATCCTTATTTGCATTCCCCGTAGACCAGGTCAGGGTCACAGAGGTCAAAAGCTGAACTCTGCTATCTACATGACCCCCATTCCTACCCTAATTTAAAGAGGTGTTAGTAAATGCTAGAAAAGCTAACAGTAATAAAATAATCTCCCTAACGATTAATTAAAAAAATAAATAAATAAAGCACCACTAACAGAATTTCACCTCCTTACTTTTTTCATGTTGGATTAAATAAAGAAATGGTATCATGGTGTATATGGTGTCTTTATTAGTGCCTCTTTATAAGGATCCTCTGAGTATAATAGAAATACTTCAGAATGTTTTTGCTTAGGACACTGTAATCTAACACACAAACTTGAGGAAAGCTGCAAGAACTTCAACGCAACAGCACAAAGTCAAGGGGAGTTCTCCAAATACATTTAAACCACTTTGGGGCCATATTTCTGCAATAATTACTATGCCTGCAGCCATGCTGGCTACAATTACCTTGCACCACTTAATTCTTACCTGTAGGTGGTGTTTGGTAGAGTGGAGTAAAACTGGAAACTGGTTCTCTGTGTCCCTGAATCTAATTGTTGATTTTTGCTGATCAGCCTTAAGTTGTAACCCAAAATAGGTCCTCCTGGGAATTGTGGTGGAGCCCAACTGACTTCCACGGTGTCGGGACTTGAGCTCTCGATATTTCTGATGGAAGGAGCAGTTTCCGGAACTAGAAGAAGTAATGGTGACATGGTGAGCAGGAAAATTACAGGCACAAATTTAAATAGGATAGGAAAAAAGTTTTGTGTTTTGAAGTGTAAATTAAATATTTGTATTAATATTCAAAGTAAGTGATAGGAGGTGGTAAGATATCTATGAGCTGCGACTCTTGATCCCTGAATGAGACCAGTTAGCTACTTTCCTGAGGGACTCTTTCAAGTATTATTTTCCTTGCATCTCCTTTATGAAATAAAATTAAATGTGGAGGTACGTAAATAGGAGAAATGTTCTGGAATATTATTATCAAAAATCCCCAGAGAGCTGAATGAATTGAAACTGTAGGGTGGTGCCCGGTGCGGAAGGAGAGGAGAAGCTATAATAAAACAGGAGTCAATGATTAACGCGAGTTGGAAGAAGTAAATCCTGGGCCTTCTCACTCAGGAGAGTGCTATAGCCTGACTAGTTCCAGCTGAAGATACAGGTTCAGATAAGCAAGATTTAGAACAGTGTGCTTCCCTCTTGCTGGCCTCAGCTGTGCTGGCCCAGACTGTGTGTTCCTTCCCCCGCTCCCAGGGTCCCTTGGAATCCAAGTTGACCGTGTTTAAGGCAGGACCCTCTCCCTTATGAAGGATTCAAGGAACATGCGTGAATTAATTAAGCATTCACTCACAGACTTTAGAAGCTATCTAAGTAGCAAAGAGCAGACAGAAAAACAAATGATCTAACAGCCTATCTGCCTTCATGCCTCCACCTACTTCTCATAACTCCCACCCCTGAAACCACACTCTTTTATTTCCTCTTCCCAGAGAAAGACATACTCTGATGTCACTTTGTTCTTGTGTAGACTTCGCTCCCTCTGAACATGTTTGGCAAATGCTCTGCATCACTCCTGACTAATGAGAGTTGGTAGAAATAAGACAGTTCAACCTTCACAGTGGATGAGTTTTTAAAGGGCCTGTTAATTGATCTCTTGGCCTTTCTCTGATACAATTCCTCCTCAACTCTCAGACTAATCTTTGAAAAACACAAACCTCATTGTGTCCACTCCTCTGCTCCACGCATTCAGTCACCTTGGTGAGCAGAAGGGTACAAATCATCTTTCACTAATCAGAATCAGGATGTCAAAAAACCTAATTCATTAGGGTCAATGCTCAGACACGATCTGCTTCACTTTGAGCAAGTTAGATGCCACCTACCTGGTGAGCTGTGATTCTTGTCCAAATCTCTCCCACAAAAATCCTCCCCAAAAGGCTGGTCAGGTTGGGCAAGATAATCCCTGACTAATAACAATTCCACTTGGTTAAGAAATTATCTTCATCAGGGCACCATCTAGAATCATACATTTCCCATCAAGCAAAGAAGAGGGCCATGAAGCATGAAACACAAAACAGAGACCTATAAGTTTTAATGTGGCTAGAAAAGTGAGAAAGAATTGAAGAATAAGGTGCTATCCACGAAAAGGATACCCAGTGTAGGTCCAGAATACCTGGAGGGCATGAGAGCTTACAAATCCAGAAGAAAGGCCCAGAAATGGAAAGCAAAATTTGCCTTCTTCATTATTTTGATTTGACTAGCCATGCGCCCTGGATCATGTTATCTCTCCAGCATCAGAAAATGCTCCAGCGCTGTTAGGATGCATGAGACACTAGTTTGAACAAAGAAGGATCCATGTATTCTACTCTGCCTGGGAACATTTCAAATACTGTCCTAGGCCAGTGTCTGACCTGAGGTTCTGAGGATGGTCAGGGAATAACCAGCAGAGGTGGCCACACACAGCCTAAAATCTGATCAACAATAAGAGGGCACTAGTCAGGGAACGGGAAAAATTCCTCAACCAGCTTCATCAGCTGTCCAGCTATGCTTCCGGGCATGGCCTAGTTCAGTGTGAGGCTCTTTGCACACTGCCAAATCTCCAGAACTAAGGCGTAGGGACATCTAACATCTGCCTGGAGTAAGCCCCCCAGGTCCATTCAGCTAACCCTGCAGGTAAAGGCACCAGACAACTCTCCTTCATTGTCCGTCCCAGGCATTTATCCCCCTGAAATGCTCCAAGCTTGAATCCTTTTCCTGGTGTGGAAGTCACATCTTCAAAAGAAGAAATCAGAAACCGCTCCAAAAAATGTGCTATTTTTTTTAAAAATCGTGTCTGTTAAAATATTAAAGTATTATCATAACCTCCATGCTGGTCACACTACGTCTGTGCTTTCAAATCTCTCTCATTCCCTCAATTCATTCTATGTGTAGTTGACAAAATTACCTTTTTAAGAAGCATGTGAAGCAATTACTTCTCTGCTTTAAAACCATCCTTAACTCTTAGTGGCTTATTGAGGTTTATACTGACTACCTTATTTAATACCTGATGTCCTTCACCCCATGTCCCATTTCCAAATCCCTGACAGACGCTGTTCAAAATGTTCCTCTTACCATAGTACACAGCACCTTCCCAATTACAATCTACTTTCCTTATTTATTATGTTTACTCCTTAGAGTTATGTCTCCTCCTCCAAAAAGTGAACAGCACAAGAACAGGGAGTTCTGTATTGACCACAGAGGTATAGGGAGCACCTAGAATGCCAGTTGATCCCAGAGGTATAGCGACTTGACATATAGTGAGGTACTCAGTTACTGAACGGATCGAATGATGAAGGAATCATTTATTTCGTTATTTAAAATAAACACAAACCAAACTAAAACTTTGGAATAATCTCCTCATTTCATAAGCAACACGGGTGCACCATACCTCCATAAGGATGAGTCCTGTAACTGGGACTTGGCAGAGAAGACAGCTGTAGCTGGGCTGTGAGGATCCAGACCACTCGAAAAATATACTCAGTGAAGGGATGCAGGGATTCTACCGTGTATGAGAGCTTGGACACAGCCTACATCAATGAGAGATTAATAGTCAGCATTTACAGAATCACCACCGCACGGTGCGACTCAAGAACACAGATTAGTTTGTAAAAGATGCATGACTTTTTTGGCTATGGGGTGACCCAGGGCCCGTCAGACCAGGAAAAAACAGAGGCCTGGAGCTTAGAGCTGAGCCATCCAGATGTCAGTCGACATAATTCACACCAAAAGTCCCTCCTTCTTCAAAATTGCAAAACTATGGATTCAGCCCTCTGCCATGTACCTCAAGGTTTTACTTTAACTTTTCTATGTTAATATACTTAGTGTCTTGGGATTATTCTCTGAACTTGCTCATGCTTGCTTTCCTAAAAGGGACAGTTCTAGGTGACCTTCTTGCCCTCCCTCCTAGTTGGGATCACTGTGGGTGGGATGGGCAGATAAGGATCAATGTTTATGAGTATTGAGTATGTGATGTTGTGCTGAAGGAACAAAATATGTCTAATAATATGTTTTCTTCAAAAATAAAGGATTTAGCATCAACATGTGGGAGTACTAGAGATTAAAATTCATCTAATCCAACCACTCACATTATACTTGAATCTTCTCCAAAATGTCTTTATGCCTATAATATATGCAGTAATTTGGCACTGCTAATAATTTGGAAAAAAAATCTGTGTGTATGTACATAGGCAGCTTTTCACACCTCAGTATAAGTCCAGCTTCCAGGAAGTTGTGCGTATTTCCACTGAATGATGTATTTGACTCCAGAGATGTTGGCAGATTTCCATCGTAACGTCACACTATGGCTTCCGATGGAAGAAGCAAAGGGTGCTGTGGGGAGGTCTGCATTTTCTAGGGAGAAAGGAAGATTTCATTCGCCATGCACCTCTGTCATATCAGAAGAAAGGGTGTCCGTTTCATCTAGTGCTCTCAGGACTCTCTTGTTACAACTACATCTTGCCACAAAAACCCACCTGAATAATAAAAGATGCATATAGTCAACTGGTTAATATTCTGAAAATCAGCGAATCAGTCTGGCTTCTTGTTTTCCCCATAGTATTCATTAATATGTTTTTTTGTTTTTTTTACAGGCAAGGACCATGGAGCATTCTGAGAATGTCCAGTTTTCTCTTACTAAACCACTTCCTTCTAGGTGAGGGGGCTGGGTGCCAGGAATATGGTACATAACAGAACCATCCATTGTCCCAGAACGTGTATCCCAATTCACACTACAATTCTCGTTATTGCTCATCTTGTCAATAAATCATTTTTATTGTTTTTAATTTATTTATTTTTGAAAGAGAGGGAGACAGAGACAGAGCATAAATGTGGGAGGCGCAGAGAGAGAAAGGGAGACACAGAATCTGAAGCAGGCTCCATGCTCCAAGCTGTCAGCACAGAGCCCAACGTGGGGATCAAACTCACAAACCGTGAGATCATGACCTGAACCGAAGTCAGACGCTTAACGGGCTGATCCTCCCAGGTGTCCCAGTAGGTTATTTTTATATGTACAAGTAGTTGTACTCCAAAGGATTCTATATTCAGTTGTTCTATAATGTAAAATATCTTGTGTCTTCTAAACATTAGTAACATCACAACTGGCAACACACATTTATTGGTGCTACTTTCAGGCACTGTACAAGGGGCTAGAATTTGGAACGGTATGTTCCCCGGGGATGAAGTTATTTCACTTTACTTTTTCTATTTTCCAAAATTGTGACTGATTTACTACTTGAGCTTGCTTCCCCCACCCCAATTATTTATTGTGTAAAATACACATGACAAAAATTTACTGTCTTAACATTTTTAAGTGTGTTCAGTGGTATTAAGTACATTTATATTGTTGTGCAACCATAACCACCATCCATCTCCAGAACTCTTTTCCTCTTGCAAAACTGAAACTCTACCCATTAAACAAGAACTTCCCATTCTTTACCCCCACCCGCACCCCCGCCTCTGGCAGACACCATTCTACTTTCCGTCTCTGTGATTTTGAATACTCTGATCCCTCACATAAGTGTCATCAAACACTATTTGTCTTTTTGTGACAGGGCTGATCTCACTTAACATAACGTCCTTAAGATTCATCCATGTTGAACATGGCATCCTTGCCTTGTTCCTGACCTTAGAGAATACAATTTCTTTTATAAAAAAATAAATAATCACTACTCTGGTTGAGAAAACATAATAGTCAATTTCCTTCATTTTTAACGCTGAATAACGTTCCATTGTATGTATGTATCAAAGTTTGCTTATCCATTCCTCCATCAATGGACACTTGGATTGCTTTCATGTTTTAGCTATTGTGAATTCAATAAGAAGTGGATAGATAGCATCAGTGTATAAATATCACTTCATTACCCCGCTTTATTTTGAGTATATACCCACAAGGGTAATTGCTGGATTATATGGTAAATCTATTTTTAATTTTTTAAGGAACCATCATGCTGTTTAGCACAGAGGTTATGCCATTTTACATTGCCACCAACAATGCGCAAGTGTTCCATCTGCTTCACATCCTCATTAACACTTTTATTTTTCTGGATTTTTTTTTTTGAGAGTAACCATTCTAGTTTTAATTTGCATTTCCCCAATTGTTTAGTGATGTTGAATATCATTTCCTGTGCTTATCGATCATTTGTATATCTTCTTTGGAGAAATATCCATTCAAATCCTCCACCTATTTTTGAATTGGGTTGTTTGGTTTGTTTTGGTTGTTAAATTTTAAGAGTCTCAATATATTCTGGATATGAATCCCTTATCAGATATATGATTTACAAATGTTTTCTTCCATTATGTTGTTGCCTTTTTGCTCTATTGACAGTGTCTATTGATGCATATTTTTTTTAATTTTACTGAAGTCCAATTTGTCTATTTTTTTCTCTTGTTGCTTTTGCTTTGTGTCATATCCAATAAGTCATTGCCAAATCCAATGTTGTAAAGCCTTTGCTCTATTTTTAATTCTAAGAGTGGTACAGTTTTAGGTCTTACATTTAGGTCATGAATCCATTTTGAGTTAACTTTTTCATATGATATTATGTAAGGGTCCAACTTCATTCTTTTGTATGTGGATATCCAGTTTTCCAACACCATTTCTTGAAAAGACTTTTTCCCTTTGAATAGTCTAGGCACACTTGTCAAAAATCATTTGACTATCCAAATAGGATTTATTTCTGGACTCTATTCTAATCCATTGATCTATATGTCTGTCTTTTTGCCAATGTCACACTATTTTGATGACTGTAACTTATCACTATAAGTTTGAAATCAGGAAGTATGGGTCATCCAGATTTGTTCTTCTTTTTAGGGTTTGGGGTCCCTTTAGATTCCATATGAATTTTAGAACATGTCTTTCTATTTCTACAAAAGATACTGGGATTTTAATAGGGATTACATTAGATCTGTAGGTTGCTTTGTGTTAGCATTGACATCTTAACTATATTGTCTTTCGATCCAAGAATATGGGATGTCTATTTATGTCTTCTTTGTTTCAGAAATGCCTTATAGTTTTATTTTGCAAGACTTTGACCTCCTTGGTTAAGTTAGTTCCTAAGTATTGTGTGCTTATTGATGCTATTGTAAATGGAATTGCTTTCTTAAATTCCTTTTCAGATTGTTCATTATTAGAGGATAGAAATGCAACTGATTTTCATGTGTTGACTTTGTACAAATTTATTAGTTCTAACAGTTTTTTGTGCTATCTTTAGCACTGTCTACATATAACATCATATTATCTGCAAACAGGGATAATCTTCCTTCCCCATTTCAAATTTGGATGGTTTATTTCTTTTTCCTGCCTCATTGCTCTGGTTAGAATTTCCTGTACGATGTTGAATAGAAGTGTCAAAAGCAGGCATCCTTGCCTTGTTCCTGACCTTAGGGGATACAATTTCTTTTATAAAAAAATAAATAATCACTACTCTGGTTGAGAAAACATAATAAGTTTTTGTAAGAAACTTAAAATGGGTAAATACAAACTTCCACGACCTCACTCTTTCTGATTAAAAGTTGACACCATTCTGATCATTATAGATACTGAATCTGGACTAATTAAAGTCCATAGTACCAGAATATCCCGTGACCCAGAAAAAAGAAAGCCACCATCATCTGAGGTTCTAGCCCACAGAGAGGCTTAGCACAACCCTTCTCTGCTGATTCTTTTATTTATAGTTCATTTTTAGCTTTTATAACTACACAAACAAAGCACAGCTCCATTTCCCCCCCTGTTTTATGGTGTGAGACACTTAATCGCGGGGACTGGAATATGCAGTGGAAAACCTTTTTCAAAAAATAAAGGAAACCTCATTTAAAGTGGAATCAAGAAGCCCTGATGGGGGGAGCTCTCACACACGTACCATTCATTGCACCCTGCATAACCAGCAGCAAGAAGGAGGATAAGAATTATCTTGACAAGGAGGACATTTTTTACACGGGATTTTTTTTTTAAAGAAAAAGAAGGAAGATCCCTCCACACTCCAGCAACAATGCACTAACACAATCTCAAACTCCTGTTCTTCTCCAGTGAACTTTTGTTCAAAACAACCCTCCCCAGTTTCCCTCTTTCCTCTATAAAAACCTACATTCCCTCTGTTCTCTGGGCTTACCTACAGTTTGCCATAGTTTGCTCACCCCAAATTGCAATTCCTTTGCTAATTCCTGAATAAACCCATATTGCTAGTGAAATAACTGGCTACTTTATTTTTAAGGTTGACATGCTAAAGAAGAGTCCAGTGTGGAGTTGTCAGCAAAGAGGAAGATCTGAAAGAATCAGAAAGAAGGTAAGTTGAGACCTGGGCAGAAGGGACCAGAGTTATATCAGTAAATGCAAGTAAAGGTAAACTTCATAACTAGATGTAGAGATGTTTCAAAGCCATGGCAATGCGCGTGGACAATCAGAGGTCAAGTAGGTTTGTTCTAAAATATCAGGACAAGAGTCAACTAAATGAGAAAAAGAAGCTGAACTGAGCTGTATACGACTTTCAATACACAGCTGAGTGGGTAAGAAAAGCCCCTGAAATCAGACACTTGGGTTAAAATCAAGTTACTCCCTCTCTAGTTCATTCAATACCATCCCTTTCTATGCAGCCCTAAGCAAATATATATACTTTTGTGCCTCATTTTTCTCATCTGTAAAATGGGGATTAAAAATAGTATTTATACCTCTGAACGCAAAAAGAGCTAATACCTATAAATTACTTTTAACAGTGCCTGACTCATAAATACCTAACAAATATTAGTTCTTTTTATTTCACCATTGCTATTTCCACCACGTGGAAGAGAGACACGGACAGTATCTAAAACAGAATAATACAGCAGACTCAGAGATAGGTGAACTAGGTACTAGGTGTGTTAGAGACAAAAAAGGATCTTAGGTGTTTGGGCAAAAAGATTCATTATAACAAACTGAAGATATGGCCTGTAAGCACAATTGCTTTTATTTAGACTTGATACATATCATTTGTTAATGGTATATAGACATTGATCCATAACCAGTGTGAAATATTAAATAAAGCACCAATTACACTTGTATTATAAAAATATATAATTAAGTTGTTAGTATAATTCTGGAATATAAGAAAGGAACGCAACTCAAAGCTTTCCGAACTTTCTCAGTTCTGGCATCTTTAGTTTCTCAGTAATTTTTGCATAACTCCCTGCACCAAAAGAATTACCAAACAGCTCCATGTATTAAGTATAACTTAAGTTATGCGTGTCCTTTCACCTTAGCAGATATTTGAAAAAAAAATAACAACACACATAAATAGAAAGACAATATATGTATTTAAACCTTCAATAAAGAGAATTGCACACTGGTGTGCCTGGATGGCTCAAGCGGTTAAGCGTCCAACTCTTGAGTTCCACTCAGGTCATGATCTCACAGTTCAGGGGTTCAAGCCCCACATCGGGCTCCGTGCTGACGTCGTGGAGCCTGCTTGGGATTCTCTCTCTCTCTGCCTCTCCCTCTGCCCTTCCCCTGCTTGTGCTCTCTCTCTCTCAAAATGAAGAAATAAACTTAAAAAAAAATGAATTGCACACTAATGGGATCTGTGTGCCTATTGGGCAACCTGTTCCAAGTTGAGTTCCTTATGGTACTTGCTTTTATCCCAGCAATCACCAAAAAAACTCAGCGTTGCAAAGATATGATATAGAAGGGAATGTAGCTCATTTCGTTGTTTATACCATGAACTACCTACAACTAGTAGTTCCAATAATGTCCAGAAGATCAACTACCCCTATGTTTCCCTTAAATGTTTAAAATGCCCCATGCTTTCCTATGAGGTATGTGTGATGCACTGGGAGGGGGGAGGGGGAGGAGGAGGGGGAGAGGGAGGGGGGAGGGAGGTTCCTCGGTGCACAGTTTGGAAACCATAGAATATAAATTTTATCCATAGCTAATTCCCACTACACAGAAGGAAAAGAATGTTCTACCACTTATCTCTCCACAGAAATGTCAGGGGGGTTCTTTTGTGGGATACCAAAGGGCAGAAGCAAATCAGGACAGCCAGGCAAGATCCTCCTTCCAGTTTCCATCAGTCACTGAGAGCAAGGAGCAAGCCATTGAAGCAAAGAGCACAACTTACAGGAGAATCAATCATTCCCCCGTCTGGAGGGAACAGTCTACCTCTTCGTGGGAGGAAGACCCTGGAAATTCTGGAAAAGAAAGCTACTAACATCCAGGCTGTGACTTACCAAAGAGCTGGTTCTTCAGAAACCACTAGAGAATTCACACACTAGGGCAAATTCACTAAGACACACCCAACCTGCTCTGAAATCAAAGGGAACTGTAGACGTATAGCCAAGTACCCTACTTAATCAGAATCTAAAAGCAAGAAGCATAGTTTCTAGACATTCAGCAAACTTCCCAGGGCCTTGTAGGGAGCCAGGCAGATAGTAGATACTCTGCTGACGAGCTGTTAGCTGAATAATTAACTGCATGCTAAATAAAATATTCTTATGCTTTTGGTTCATTAAAACAGTGGCATTTCCTGACCTCAAATCTAGTTAGGATTCATAGTTGTCTCTTTCATTAAGATGGAAGTCGGGGCGCCTGGGTGGCGCAGTCGGTTGGGCGTCCGACTTCAGCCAGGTCACGATCTCGCGGTCCATGAGTTCGAGCCCCGCGTCGGGCTCTGGGCTGATGGCTCAGAGCCTGGAGCCTGTTTCCGATTCTGTGTCTCCCTCTCTCTC